TCCGAGGCCATCAAGAAGGCGTACCGCAAGCTGGCGCTCAAGTGGCACCCCGACAAAAATCCTGAGAACAAGGAGGAAGCGGAGCAGAGATTCAAACAGATGGCCCAGGCCTATGAGGTGTTGTCGGACTCCAAGAAACGCGACGTCTACGACCGCTGTGGTAAGGCCGGCGTGGATGGTGGCGGCGCCGCCGGCGGGCCCTTCGAGGACCCCTTCGAGTACATCTTCACCTTCCGCGACCCGGCCGAGGTCTTCAGGGAGTTCTTTGGTGGCCGGGACCCATTTTCGTTTGACTTCTTCGGAGACCCGCTTGAGAACATTTTTGGGGGTCGGAGGAGCTCCCGGGGAAGCAGAAGCAGAGGGTCAGCATCCCTTTTCTCCACCTTCAATGAATTTCCAGGCTTTGGAGGTGGTTTTTCTTCTTTGGATACAGGATTTACTTCCTTTAGCTCCCTGGGAAATGGGGGCCTTTCTTCCTTCTCCGTGTCTGCTGGTGGTGGTGGGACAGGCAGCTTCAGGTCCGTGTCGACATCCACAGAAATAGTGAATGGCAAAAAAATCACCACCAAGAGAATTGTTGAGAATGGCCAAGAAAGAGTGGAAGTGGAAGAAGACGGAGAGTTAAAGTCCCTGATGATAAATGGCAACAAGCAGTTGCTACGCATTGACACCGAGTAAAGCCAGTCCATGTTTGACTTAAAGCACATTTTAGGGAATAACAGGACTTTTTTGTTTTCTTTTTAAGATTGCAAGTGAACTCTACTTTGAGAACAACTGTACCCAAGAGTTTATAAACACTTAATGCCAACGCCTGTTTGTTGTTATTCTTGGGACTACGAAAATAGGACCTCTGTCTTTAAAACTGTTGTAAATATCTGTATGCACTTTGCTATTTATTAAACTTAATCCCAAGGCAGATGGTGATTATTTCGTGGTGCTAGGACAAAATGTCACCACAGCACCTTGAATCTTGCCTTTTTCCTTTTTGTTTGAAATATAAGCCAGGTAATTTGCTCTGAAACATTTTACTTCAATTTTTTCGTATGTAGTGGTCAAAGATACGAATATATTATTAATACTTATGTTTTAAAATAAAGATGGCTTTTAATAGCACATACATGCTGGTGATGGGATAGGGTAGGTTTGGTGATGTGGTCAGCCCCTCCTAAGAAACCTTGCCCTTTTTAGGCTCTTGCCTCTTCATCACTGTCCCACCTACACTGGGTTATCTCCTCTCTACCCCTTCCACCATCTCTCAGTTTAAGTGTACCAAGTAGAAGACCCATTTGACATGCAGTCTTCGTGATGCCTTCCCAACTCTGATATGTCCCCTACACTATACACCAGACACCAACTCCTGGTCAGAAAACCTCTGTTCAGTACAGCTTCTTCTCTGAAAAGTTGGTTGTTTCTTTCTCTGATCACAGAGACCCCATTTCATTGCCTGACTTCCACTTCACTTCCTGAAACTTCTACTTCCTTTGAGTGCTTAGGTATCCTGTGATCACTTCTCTATTCCTTCCAAAACAGGACCACTAGAAATTATCATGTTGACAATTGCAATTTGCTAGTTCCTTTATCCCTCTACTAAAAATCTACAAGCAAAAATCCCCTGATGGAATCGTTCACAACTCAATTTATCTGCTCCTGCACAGCTGAAGGAAATCAAACAACCGTGAAGACAGTGCCTTCCATCTTCATGGACAGTGTCAGCTGAGTCACACCGGTGTTTATCAGTCCTATTGCAGACCCTCAGCCCTGCCTCTCCTTCCTGTCAGAGACCATTGCAAACCTTAACTACACTACCTAGACCACTTAACAATTTATCTCACTGAAGACTATTAGGACAAGAAGTAGAAATCTTTGTAGAACGAGTAGATAAGTAAGCACTTGTAACTTAAATATATATAATATATGCAGGCTGGGTGTGGTGACTCATGCCTGTCATGCCAGCACTTTGGGAGGCCAAGGCAGGAGAATCACTTGAAGCCGGGAGTTCAAGACCAGCCTGGGAAACATAGCAAGATCCCATTTCTACAAAGAAAATTTTTTTAATTAGCCAGGAGTGGTGGCATGCTTGTAGTCCCAGCTTCTCAGGAGTTTTAAGCAGAGGATCCCTTGAGCCCAGGAGTTCCAGGTTGCAGTGAGCTATGATCATGTCACTGCACTCCAGCCTGGGTGACAGAGCAAGACCCTGTCTCTAAAAAACTGTTTAAATACATAAATAAATAAATAAATCAAAATGTGCTCTGCCTGGAACCTTGGTTGGATAAAGATACCGATACAGACCTGAGAGAGTGGCTTCCTGTTGACACAGTTGATGCCCCCAATGAAGACCATGTTGGGCATGATGGGCCTGGGGTAGTCCAGCACAAAGTCATTTCTGAACAGCCACACGGACGCATGGCTAAGAATATCCACCAATGATACCTCTCTCTGAAGGACCTCGGAGGCCAGGCTTGCATAAGGAAAATAAGAAACATGGCAAATGTAGAACAAGGCCAGAGGGTAGAGCATGTTCTTGACCCTTTCCACGAATGTCATGTGGTCTGAATTCCTTGTTAGTGACCTAGGAATATATGAGGAAGGGTTCGGACACTGTGTGCCCTCAAAGTCTAAGTGACATGGAATGAAACGCAAAAAAACCACAGTGGGAATGGACAGGTACTTAGCCAGCACTGCCCCACAGGGGTAAACGGGGTCTGTTAAAACCACATCAAAGGAACTGGCATTCAGGTGCCCGAGCAGGGTCTTGTTATGCATTAGGTCTGCACAAGACTTAGAAAGAAACACAGATGACCTTTCCAAAATTGCCATAGTTTTAAAAAACGTCTTCAGAAAATGTTGTGTTTCAAATGCAATTTGAATGTGTTCCTTAAGGAGGTTGTCAAAATCGTACTTGCTGTATGGAAAACCATACATTTTCACGGTGAAAAAGTCCTCTTCTTTGATGCGCATATTCACCTCTGGTGCGAGGACCACAGCTTGGTGGCCTCGGGCATGGAACTCCCTCACCACCTCTCGCATGCTGAGCCAGTGGCTGCCATCCATGGGTACCACCAGCACCTTCTCACCCTCAGTGCAGGGACCACCATTCAGGAAGAGCAGCAGCCCCAGAAGCCCCATTGGAAGAACCTGGAGTCCGGTGGCCATCTCGGCAGAAGCCAACAGCAACTAACTTTCCACCGCAGGCTGTGCCTCTTATATTCATTTATTTCACTCTTGTTAGTTTATCATTGATCCACTTAGGAAAATGGCATGTAATTGAAAGACAGAGTGTACTCCTTAAGTTAATCATTACAAAATAAATCTATCCCTATCTGGCCCCCGGGAGAGATCTAATCACTCCTATCTTGGAAAAATTAATCTGACCCTGCTGCTCTCTTTGAGGAACACTTGATTTCACTCTCATGTTTTTCATCCAACGTCCAAAACATGTGGACACACATTTCATCTGATTGTCTCCTACTTCTCTATTAACCACATTCTACCAGGCTGTGACTATGCTCTGAAGAGTTGCCAATGTCCTGGTCCCCAACCATAACCTCTCTACTAGATGTGATCCCATCTTAGAACTCCTTCCTCCCCTGCAGGAGTAACACAGAGCACATCCAGAGAAGCATATAACATTGCTAAGCCAGCTCTCTCTAAATGAGTAGGGAGATGCTGGCTCTCTGGTTTTGTTCATTTTCCAAAGCAGGATATCACTTGTAATGATCAGGGAGGATTCTATTTGAAGTGG